TAGTCAATTGTAGAAGAATATTAATAATGCTCGAGACCGAGGGCGATCATGAACAAGGGAAATGCGCGTATAAGTATTCTTGGTTACTATACATAATAATATTATGTATTATACATAAGTGTGTGTATAGGTATGCATAATTTAAAAACTTTAATCGTCTGATTACTGGCAATTTAAAAATAAGAGCTACTTCACATATGAATACGCAACGGGTGTGTGGGTATTCAAACGGCAAAAAATAAATAAGTATACGACCAAATGTTTTCATTCATTCTTTTATATCATTATAATGAAATTAGCATGATCACAGTAACAATAATACTAATAAAAACAAACTAATTATTACTATCATTTTACTAATGTATCGTTCATTTGTATACAAACAAAGTATAATTTTCTAGTTAAAATACACATTTCCGTAGGTAATAAAAACCCTTCGTTTGATGATAAAAAAAAAGTTTTTCTTTTTAAACCCACTGGATAACTAGGTATTTATTTACGAAAATTATAACCTTTTCAATGCCTTTTTTTTGTTATTCATTTTTACATTTCCGTAGCAAGAGAAAATGGAATTCGTTTACCAGGAACTAACTAAAAAAAATAATAATCAGTTATACCAAAATATATTGAAATAAGATATAAAATAAATAGTAAAAATAGTTTATTTTTGCAAGTATTAAACCTTAGATTATCAGTAAATCTATGTATTTTTAAAAGACACTGTTTTACTGATGTTATTATGACATTAATTGTTAAAATATAAATAAGATGTATTATAGCAATGTTTTATTTTTATTAAATAACGGGAAGTAATGAAATCATGGACGAAATTATCTCATGACTTTGCACAAAGTTTTATTTTTTATTGGAAAATATATAGAAATTTACAAAAATTAAAAGCTTATTTCGTTAGATTGATTAAAAAATATAAGTTTTCTTTAAAACATTTCAGTACTAAATTAGTATAATAATTATGCGTACATTTAATTATTAGTAAAATAAATTTTAAAAATGTGCTTAACTTCCTATCCATCTACACCAATGGGCTACGAAGTACCTACATTATCTAATTAAAAGAATTAGAAAAATCCACAGCAATAAGCTAAACTAGTTTTTAAACACAAATACATAATATTAGTAGTTGTTACACGCGTCATTAAAGACACTGATGCACCACACCTATTTAGTTTTCATTTGAAACACTGATTATAATATGCGTGTAGTCAGTAACGCTAATCTATATACTTATAAACATCGTGGACGCTATTTCTTGTTTCTTTTTTATTATTATCAAGAATATTTTTACAATCTATATAATAAAATAATTAAATTAAATAAAAGGATAATAATAAAACTTTATGAATTTTCGAGATTGCAGAAAATATCGGACTTATAGCAGTGAAAATAATATGTATAATAATAATAACAAGTAATTTATCTAACTTTAAATTTGTGAATGCAATTTAATTTTTTCATGCTTTCACCCTTTTTACTATAACTTAAGTGTTATATCCGATATTTTATTGGGTATTATCAAAAACTAGCAAAATAAAATTTATATAATTTAAAATTGTGTTTTTCGAAAATAAAGTGAAAAAAATATATTTTATAATTATATTATTAGCGTAATCGCAAAACGTAAGTTTATGTCAAACTATACGGTTTTCGACAATAAAAACTGTATTATACTTGATACACAACGAGTTAATTAAAAAAATAAGTACGATAACGACAGTTTTTTATGTTGTTTTTATGGTGAAAAGAAGTGCACGTTGTCATGGACAAACGTTACCGGTTTACGAAAATTAAATTTATCATCAGCTAGTACATCTACAGTCTTGCACGTTTATTCATATTAATAATAACTATCCGTCGTTCTAAAAAAAAAAAAAGAAAATCATAATTATTGTTCCATGGAACGGTGGCTTAAAATTACCATACAGTATAATTAACTTAAGCAGGTTTAATACATTTAGAAATAACTATTTATTAGCGTTATTATTAAATTGTCTGACTTATAAATAATATAATATATCTTATCGTTATACTTACTCCTATAAATAATATAGAACGTATAGAATGATTGTTATTACTTATATTCCTTGTCAGATAATCATATTTATGGTTTTAAAAGTCAACTTTTTTTTTTCTTTGCCTATCTGGTGCAAGTCACCTGCAATAACTGTGTAGTTAGGCCATTGACCCTTACTACTGCAGCTAAAGTTATCAAGCCACTCAACATGATATAGCGACAACGGAGTATTGATGAGTTATTTCCTTAAGTTTAACTGTAATATATTTTCAAAATATATTATGCAGTTGTTATTTCATACAACAATCTAGATTTAGAGAAACGCAGGGTTATTCTAGGCTTTACATTTCTGTACTTACTCTGAATTTTAAATGATAAAAAATTATTGATAATTGGTTAAGTATACAAAATATTAATATCACATTAAAATGTTTAGAAAAATATTCCAAAAGAAAATTAGTTTTAAAATTGTTTCTCGTTGCGACTGTTCTACTGTGAACTCATCGTTCATTTCTGCAACACAGCACAAGTACATTGCATGTATTAAAACGTGATGATAAAAATTATAACGCATACACTTCAGGATTATACTTATACAGATTAAAGTAATAACCGGTGATTTGTAAATTTGTTATTAACGTTGTATGAATATAATAAATAAAATGAACATCAAAAGTATCTATAAGCGTGGTGCCTTGGTGATATTTTCTGCTATGAAGAAAAAAGTATTTGAAAAAAACGGTGTCAATTTTCATATTGAAAGTATTAAACGATAAACACTACAAGAGTTATGGAATTATTTCTACCTTTTGGTTTGATAATGCTATGGTATTTTTCGGTTTCATTGTACTTGCTATAAAGTTCAACATAATTCCTCAGTAAAATTCCAATATTTTATAAAAAAAATTATTTTTTTTCCATTCAACAAAACTATAAAAGATAAAACTATTATTACTATTATTGTAAATACCTTAAATATAGGTTCTATTATCGACCTGCAGTTTAACGAAAATAGTTTATCATGATTTACTAGAATTAAATGAAAAGTATATAATTTTGAATATCAAATAAATTTATAAAAATCCTATCATATAATATCACATTTTATTATCTAAACACCTTAGGTCACTGAAAAGCCGTGGTTACTGTTATTATACTTTCAACTGTGTTATATTGCTATGATTATGTGGTTAAAAATCGTTTTTTGTAAAAGAGACTATTAAAATTTTATGACATTGCAATCGTTTAAACGTAAAAATATAAAATTTAAAGCTGTGAGTACTGCTTATCGCCGTTTATGTTAATGTCATCATACAGAAAAATTTGAAAAATCATAGTAAAATATAATTGTAAAAAAACAATTAAAATAAAAAAAAAACTACTAATATATATATACATGTAATATTTTATTGTATTATTCATCTTATTAACCTAAAATATTAATACACATAATATTATAATATAATACTGATATTTAATTATAGTATTGTTTATTTTACGATTAAATTACACAATATGATAGTTTGTAATGTTTGGAACAGTTAAAAAGACCCATATCCATCCGTTAAATAGCCATTTTTAGTTTTATGAGACAATATATTATTTTAGTTTATTTATTATTATTTATTTGGTATTGACAAATATTTCATAACTGAGTCCTCTTCAAACCGTTATCACTCAACTCGTTGTTATTTTCTTCTTGATTATTCGTCCATAAGTACCGAGTCGGTTGTTTATTTATCAGACAATATACTAAAGAATTAAGTCTTGAACGATTATAATCTAATTTTCAAAATATTTATCTCCACACGATTTCTGCACGCGTCTGGAAATTCAGGTTTATCAACTCATCAAAGTGAATGAGTGAGTGTTTTTTTTCTCTCCTTGATAAGTCCTTTCGCCTTCCGACATTGTTCAATAATCTATTGCAGTGATGATCACATTCGCGAGACACTATCGCCATACTAGAACGCCATATCGTATTATAATTATTCGCGATAACGCCACGCGTATTTACGAGGGAAAAAAGGGTCTGACGCGAGGTCGCTTGACGGCAACCTCGAACCCTCGCATCATGCATTCTTATGTGTATTTTAATCTACCTCAAGTATCTCTCTGTGAACAATATATTAAGGTCACGTGATCTTATAACTACCGAGAACCCGATAATAATACGTATATTACTTAAAATATTAATAAAACACAATATACCTATAAATAAATAATAATATAGTAGTAATCCGTGTTCTTGGAGTAATGTATCATTTTTCTCCACGTGTCGAATCCACTACACACACGCACGCCTAATATAATATAATATCTTTGACACGGTGTGGCCGTGTGGGTAACATTGCGCTCAAAAACGGATAATAACCGTCGAATCGACGTGACAAATTTGGTTGACAATATAGCAACGTCATAACGCTATATAATAATATGTAGCGTGGCAACCGGCAGGTATATGAAATTATCGAACGGGCCTAAAAAAATCGAACTCGCGTCGATACACCGTCACCATCATATAATATGATATAATCATTGCGCGAAACACGACTATACCTAACCTCGGCAATAACAATATTATATAAATATTGTTTTTTTATATATCTCGCGCTTATAGGCAGCACGCGTGTTATTCACGCACGGGTCGAAACAATGGGCCCCCCCCCCTGTTTACCGATTACGGGCGTGAATATATACAGCAAACGCGTGTAAACAATGAGAGGCGCGGATTGCGTTGTTTATCTAGAAAATTTTTTTGCGCTCGGAAGGTCTCTCTCGGTTTTAACATTTAAATTTTTTATTTTTTTTTTTTGCCGGTCGCGCGCGCGCGTTCGCGTTCCGTCGGGAAAACGCCGAGGAGGTGGGATCGCGCGGTATTACGTACGCACTCAGCGGCTGCTAAAACAATGTATAAAACTAAAACGAAAAAAAATTTAAATAATAGAAAAATACGCCTAGTAACGCGCGTACCTGCAGCTGTACCTAACAGCGTATACGAGCCGGCGGCGTCAGTCAAAAAGCGCGCGCGCGACGCGTAGAATCGTCGTCGTCGTCGAGTAATACCTAAAACGCCATCGCCGAACCGCACGCGATAAACATTTCACGACGATCGATAGAATTTCGAGCCGATCCATAGTGGAAAAATCGCCGGAGAAAAAAACATCGATCGTTTTAGCAATAATATAATAATAATAATAAATCGCAATCGTCACGCGTTCCACCGGCGACGGCCCAAAATGAAAACGACACGTCGACGACGGAACCGAAGACCGTAAAATGATATAATATGATATTACATATCGTACGTCATTTTTTCGTCGTACATGATATTATTATGTGATACCGCGTTACCCGACTTGACCAGTCGTCGTCATTGTCGGCAGCATCGATCCCCGTGTGCCGACATTACCGAGCAGCGAGCGGATGCTGCCCAAGACGTCGTCAATCATCTACAACGCGGGCCCTAAGTCCTACATCGCCGCCGACCACGATGACCGTCAGCTACCAGTCCAAGGTGTCGTCGTCGAGCAGCGCGGGTTTCACCAAACTGTTGTTTCTGTGGCGGGGAAGTCTGTACCAAGTACTGTACAGGGAGCTGTTGCTGTTCATGGTGGCGTTCATCATCATCAGCACCCTGTACCGGAACGCATTCACCGTCTCGCAAAAAGAGTAAGTCCGTATGACGTGATCTAGCTGTAACGATAATCGTCTAGTATTCAGTGCCGCGTTAAACATTATCTGAACAATGTTGGCTATCTTATTTTTTTTCTTATACGTATTCATAATTGAAGGAAAGTTTCCGAATCGATGATTCATAATTAACCGTTTTAAATGGCAAACTAAATTGGTTCCAGTTTAAATTTGATTCACCACATACGCGAATTGGTTCTCGGAATAAATTAGTCTTGAACGAAAGTATTCATTCTCGTTTTGTATAGGTTTAGAAACAGGACTTGGCGCCCAAATCATTAATTCAGACTTCTGGTTTGAATATATTCAGGTGTTCAAACAGCAGAATACAAAGTTTAAAAAACCGTTTAGATTTTCGTTGTTATTATTATTATTTGGTTTAATATTGTTTAATATAGCTAGTAGTTCAAGAAAAACAGTTTGAAAAATATGTATTAATAAATTGTTCAATTCATAGGATATAGGACGACCCCTATAATATTTAATTAAATGTATACAATATTATTGACACACCACAAACGATAATATGATAATGTAACAATAACTATATGAGTAAAAATTTGAATTTAGCTCATTGTTGTTTGGTACTGTTGCTATTTTTCAATTCTGTCAACCAGTTTACTCCAGATCATTTGTCGTGATAACTATGAATACAAAATTGTCGTTTATATCTTTATCTTCACGCCATTAAGAACATTTATCTTTTAGAGCCACGATTACAAAATCGTTTTAACCACTAAACATACATACAAAATGATAATATCACGAAATTAGTAAAATAAAAATAATACTCAGACTTCTGGAAGTTTTATTTGGGTTTCAGTTAATTACAATGTTTTGACAAGGAAATCGTGCAAATTTTGGATTAGGAGTTTTAATTGGGATCAAACAATCAACTATAATGATTTATGACTTATACGTAAATAAAAACCGTTTAAGTAATTTTTTTGTGAATCTGTAAGTTTGAGATCCAGACTAAATAAAATATGAAGTTACAAAAACGTAGATAAACATGTATAATGTATATAATAACATAATATAAAAATGTAGACGTCAGATACTCATTGTAAAATACAAGTGCGATGCTTAACCATTTCTAATTTAACCTTCGTTGTTTGGACGAACTTGTGCAATGCTTAAGTAATTATAGGAAAAACGTAATAAATTTCGGTGGACACCGGTGCATCGCTTTTAAATTGTTCAACCGGATATGGAAAATAGAATAAAGTTGCTCAAAATAGGGTATTTCTTGGCTGTTTATCGTTAAAAAAAAAAAAACCAATAACACTGTAAATAGAATTTAAAGTAAGAATACTATAAAAACAGCGCATCTGACTATCTATCATCGACTATCTATTTTTTTTTTATCCAATTTCCAAGCTATGCTGACTACAGCTGTTCGGAAAATAGCATACAATATTTTAATAGTTGGAATGATTGTTGATGCATTAGAGGGACAGATCAGCTAACACCACAGTGGTACATTCAATAGTGACCGTGGAAATGTCAAAAGCACCTGACAAATCAACAGTATCCGTCGAATAGAAACTAAAAATCATTGTCGATAAAAGAACTAACCACCCCCTCTTTAAATAGATTTTTTGCAAATATTCAGTCCATAGTTAATTTTCATTAATTAACTTTCGTTACTTTAATAATAATTAATAATTATAATTATAATTACTATAGGTATGTTAAAAAATGCATGTGCCATATAGCATTAAATAACATAACTTTTAAAGTTCTAACTATTCTAAAAAATTTACTATCTACTCATAATCTTTAGATTAAATGTTTCATAAACATATTATTAAAAGTTTATTACTGAGAGACTTAGAAAACATACTGTTTCCCAACATTACTGAATCTACTATTCTACATAAATTATAATAACATAAAATGTAATAGCCCAAACAATATCATGAAAGTTTCTGGTTTGCCAAACGTTTTTTAGTTAAATTACCTATCGAATTGTTAGTTTCAATGGTTCTGAGGTGGGCTAATAGATTCCCGTTACAGCTAAGTCTGATTTTTGATTTCTCGGACGGATGTGTGCATCGGAAATTGGGGGTTCTTCAAACCAAGACTACTATGTTGTCTTATGATTTTCTATTGCTATGTACATGACCGCTTCGTTAAGCACACGACAATTTATTTCACTAACTGTTGAAATCCACCATTGAGTTTTTTTTGTCATTCATTGTTAGCCTTTCACTCACCTCGTATCTAGGATTTTCAATTTATCAGTGTTGTCGTATACAACTTAAATTTAGTACTTAACAGCACATAAATAACCAAGATAGATACACAAAAATGTATTAAAATACGGAAGAAAAAAGTTATAATTTAGTCGACAAGTTTGCAAATACTACAGTAGTATGGTCAACACAATAATGTTTATATATATATACTACTTATATAGGTACCTAACCTAACCTACACGGATGCTGTGGCAAATTTATCTGAAAGGATAATAGTAAAATTAAACACTAAAAAAACTATCAAAAAAATGTATTTTTTGTAAAATACAAAATAAAGAAAAACCGCACATTTAAAAAAAAAATCTATACTAAATTCAAAATATCAATGAAATGTTTATTTAATTAATAATAAAAATTAGCATTTTTAAAATTATATTTGAATTCTTCATTTTGCCCTTCTTCAGGCGACCACGGGTACCGAAGTTAAGAGGCGGATCCAGAAAGTTTCCATGATAGGGGGAGGGAGACGCATAGAAAACAAAAACAAAGAGGTCATCAGACAAAAAAAATTGTGGTCCAATAATATCTTTTTTTTTAATTTAGAGATTTGGGAGGGGTGCGTACCCGCTTTGTCTCCCTCTTTAGATCCATCCCTGCCTATGTTTATCTATGTTCAGTTCATATTTCAATGCATACAATTTAAATTATTTCCTTTTGCTAATTACGATTATGGAACAAATCTCTTTCATATCTGGTTTAATTGATACAACATATAATAAATTGTATTTATTATTATTTATAAGCAAAAAAAATTTTAATTTAAAAATACCATTAAGTTGATAACAACACTACAGTGCAGTTAGTGGGTGTGCCTAAAAGTTAAATAAGTCTATGTGATATTTGCATTAAGTTTTAATTCAATGATAAGTAATTTGTTACGAATAAAAAGATTTTGAGCGAAGATAGTCTAACTTTTTGATAACCAAACAACATTTTAATAATAATACTAGCATTTTTATAATTTCTGTATTTTTCCCCTAATGATTTTACAAAGTAATTGGAAATTTCAATTTTTGACACACAAAAGTACAAATTTGATCATTTTTTTTTATCAGAAACCTCTCTTTAAGTTTAAAATTGAAGCTTTTTTTTTCTTTTATAAAATATATCTTCAAACAGAATTTGAAAAAAAGAAACCCCATTAATGCTGAAATTAAAATAACAATGTACTTGAATATTATGTCGGTTTGCTTAAATTTTTAGATTTTATAAAAAAGTAATAAATGAGATAATGAGATAAAAAATTAAATAATATTATAATTTTATAATTATACTCCAATAATATACTAATAGTAATACTCCTTTATTAAATTTTCATTCTATAATTCTAAAATATTTGAAAATTGTATAATTGCATGATAAATTAAAATTTTTATTATTTAGTACATGTAGATATTATAAAAAAACCTTGTCTCCTCAACAAACATAGTTTCAAGAGACAACCATTTATACATCAGTACTATGTGTTTGAAATATAAATATTTGTATTATTTACATGTATGTACACTATTTAGTTTTTCAATATAAAAAAAAAAAATCACACATCACACATCATCATAATATCAATTCATTCGTCGCTCAGTTTAAAATCTAAACACGTGTTCAATACTCAATGAATTGTAACAATATATAATAATAATATATTATATTAGCGACGCAAACAATTAAGAAAACTTAAATAATAAATTTCTATTTACAGTACACATATACCTTATGTCATAGTTTTTAGTGAATTTTATAAACGCATTATTTTAATTTTTACGAGCTTTTTTGAATTTTGTATAGATTATTTTCATTGCCATAAACTTAACAAATATGAACCAAATAAGTAAATTCTAACCTCTGCTCATTTTTGGTTAATCATTATAATATGTACCAACGCTAAAATATCAAAACCAGTTTTCAATTTTGTCTTCTTTGACCGCTGTTTACATAGTTGAATACCATATATTTATGTCATATGTTATAGGTATAAGTTGTATGACGATGTTGCACGCCCGTTGAATGCGTTTTTATCTAACAATGTATATATTTTACGTGTTTGAAATAATCGCATAATCAGTATGTGCCTTAACATATGCAGTATTAATTTCAAATAAAATATATACATATCTATGCACGAATGTCACGATAGTGTTTTAAACATTACGACTACAAATAAATCGTCCGTCGAATCGCAATCGCTGTGCAATGGTTGTATTATATTCACTCAATATAATCTTTGATCTCTTTTATTCACCTTGTGTCATAACATAAATATATACACAAAAATATATTTTATTGGGTACGAGATGTACAATACTATAGGAATATCATTGTCCATTGATTATGGAATTAACTATTGGTTGCCTTTTTAGTCTATTCTATAATCAATAGAAATTTATAATAATCGCACGAATTACATGGACCACAATATCAAAATATTGCACATTGTTTTATACAATCGTAAGTTATGGTACAAATACACCTAAAAAAAATTATATATATATTATATATTATATACTGTAGTCAGGATCATCCTTAGGCTTCGATTATGGAAAGTAAATGTCTAATTGTAGTACTCAATAATTACTTATTTTTATTTGGTCTCCACGTGCAAATCTTATAAGTTCATATCTAACAAATTACTTATATAAACATGTTAACAAAATATATATGTAGTAAATGTCTTATTTTATAGTTATAGCAAATATCAATTAAATAGTATTAAAATAATAT